TTGATCGCAAAAATCACATAAAAAAATCGTGAAATCCTGGAGGGACTGATTAGGCCTGGATTACACTAGTGCTGCACGATTAATCATTTCGCAATTGCAATGTCAAGCCTGTGCGATTATATGACGCAAAATGCTGCGATTTTATATGAAATAAACAAATTAGGGCTGTGAACGCAATTAACGCAGCATCTCTTATTTTTTTGTCATCCTTTGGCTAGTGTTATGATCCCGCTCTTATTCGTGCCAATGCTTTTAAACCATTTATGCGTGACGAGTCAAAAGAGAGCGCACAACCTGTGAATGTCCTGACAGCGACTCACAGAAAGACGCGCGCCAGTATCATGCGCATCCACAGACCGCGCGCCAGAACACAGTTCTCTTTCGCACTTGAATGAACAATAACACACACAATTATGCCAAAATGTCGTTTTGTCCAGTATCTTCATAACTTAAGAGCACCCAGACATCAATGGCTTATTAATCATTATAGATGTTATCAATCATTTAGTTGTTGTTGCTAGTGAACTATAATAACCCTTATAGTATCGCAATAACACTTACCGGTACATTATTTGGAAGCATCATTGCAGAGGCTGTTTTGTTGAAACCGTTATGTTTGCTATAATAAATCTGAGTGTTACTGTCACAGAGCTGACCTCTGATCCCTGTGTTCCCCTTGTTAGCCCTGTCTAGAATCACCGGAACACATACTTGGGTTTTTAAAATCTTTATTTACCTTGAGGTACCTGCAAAGGGAGAGATGGCTTCCACACACATTCACCCAAACATACACCTACAACTAGACTGTTGTGCCTCAGACTGGCCACCTGAGCACTAACCTCGTGGACATTTAAGCTTGTTACAAACTGTTGACTATCACCTGGATCAGCATACATGGTGGCGGCCATCTTGATTTGAGTAAAAGACCGGAATGGAGTTTTGTCAGGCTTTGCCTCATGGGAGTGGGAGATACCAAGTATGGGGGGTAAGGGGTGAAATTGTTTGATGAAGGTATTGGTGTATAATGGTTGATTGGTATAATTATAATGATACTTTTTATAATTAGTGTTGAACTGAAGCTGTGTATTTAAATGTGTGTGTTGAATGAAATTGGGTTATTTGACCTTTAACACATGTTTATGGTTTTTGATATTTCCCATGTTATGATTGCTGAGAAATGGTAGTACACATGGGTATAAATGCTCACATAAGGAAGTGGTCTAGAGAAAAAAAGGTTTTCTTTTGTGACTGGTGGTAGTGAGTAGGGCTGTCACTTTTGTGAAAAAATCCTGTTCAATTTTTGAGACATAAGTGTTCATTGAATTGATTGTAAAATCGATTTTCCATGTCTAAAGACGTTTCCATTTTCAACACCAAATCTAGGCAAATCTACGGACACCTAACAGGCATTAGGACGAGCGTAAAGAGGGCGCTTGAGACGCACGAGTCAGCAATATTCCTGATGATTTATTGGCGTGAAGTTTCGTGCACAATGACAAACAGGAGCGCAACATTCAGGGATTGAGATTAACTCCCTCGACCCGCCGAATGCGGGTAAAAATGAACTTTGGCGGGAAACGCTGTCAAATCACGAGCCAATCTGGCGTTTCTGTGTTTACTCGCTTTGCTGGGGAAGTTCGTGTAAGACAAATCTGTGCGGATTTAGTGCAAATACGCAACTCGTGATCCTCATGATATATTAAATACAGCGTATTGCAGAATCTGCGCATATCTGGCTTACTTGAACACACACACTCGTCACTACGCAACAAATAACGGCGCGGTTGTTCACTTGCATTGAAGTAATAGCGAATATTAAAAAGCATTTGGTGAATAGAAAAGACAGTGTTATTGTCCAGCATCCTACATGATCTGTGTGCTGTATTGATCTGTCCTCCTAAAACACATTTAAAAAAAAAAAAAAAAAAAAAAAAGGCCGTTAAAATCGATTCCCTATTTTTGTTTTTGAAACTTGTGTTGATTGGTCCGATCGATCGTGCAATCGATTTTCGAACGTAAAGTGACAGGCCTAATAGTGAGTGCAGTATCTGCTGAGTACTCTGACTGAATTGTAATACCGGAAGTTTTTTATATATTTTTTTTTTATTTTTTTTTTATTTTTTTATGTTTTGGCACCTGTGAGCACCTGGCACTTTCCTGGCTTGGGAGAATTGAAAATAAAGTGAAACTGGCATTTAACGTCCTCCATGTGTTGATTCAAAGAACTCTAGACCGCATCTTTGACCGTTACAAACAAACCCAGACCTCTGAAGTCCACCGAACTCAGATCATCACACGAGCTGAAGATCATGTGGTTCGCTTATAATGTGCATTAAAGGGTAGTTGGTATTCTGTGCGAACGGCACACACTCCACAAGTGACTTTCACATGTAAGAATGAGGGGCTTTCGCACCGGATAGTTCTAGGAACGAGCCGCCAGGATGGAGACCCGAGAACATTTAGTCATTTAGCAGACGCTTTTATCCAAAGCGACTTACAACTGAGGACTAAACCAAGCGAGTCATCGTGAAGAGGCAAAAACAACGCAAGAAGTGCTCAAAATACAAAGTTCAGACATAGCTCGGAGTAGCATAAGCCAGGCAAGCGAGGATTTAGAGGAAAGGTTTTTTTTTTTTTTTTTTATGTTAAGTGCTCCCGGAAGAGATGAGTTTTCAGTTGTCTTTTGAATGATGTCAGGGATTCTGCATTCCGGATGAGGGTGGGGAGATCATTCCTCCAGCATGGTACCGTGAATGAGAATGTTCTGGAGAGTGATTTTGTGCCCCGCTGTGATGGTACCACGAGCCGTCGCTCATTGACCGATCGTAGGCTTCTGGTAGGGATGTAGACTTGTAGTAGTGAGTGGAAGTATGAGGGAGCTGAACCTGTGGTCAATCTGTAAGCAAGCGTCAAAGCCTTGAACTTGATGCGAGCAGCGAGTGGTAGCCAGTGCAGAGAGATGAACAGAGGAGTGACGTGGGTCCTTTTGGGCTCGTTGAAGACAAGACGAGCTGCAGCATTCTGGATCATTTGTAGAGGTTTAGTTGCACATGATGGAAGTCCAGCCAGAAGAGCATTGCAGTAATCAAGCCTAGAAATGACCAGGGCCTGGACGAGAAGTTGTGTTGCATGCTCAGTTAGGAAAGGCCTGATCTTCCTGATGTTGTGCATAGCAAACCTGCATGATCGAGCTGTCTTTGTAATGTGGTCTGTGAAGGTCAGCTGATCATCAAAGATTACTCCAAGATTTCTGACCGACCTTGATGGGGTGATTGAGGATGAATCAAGCTGGATAGTGAGGTCGTGCTGTAGAGACGGATTAGCAGGGAGGACGAGAAGCTCAGTCTTTGCCAGGTTGAGCTGCAGGTGATGTTCCTTCATCCATGCCGAGATGTCCGCCAGACAGCTTGAGATCCGTGCAGCTACTGTGGGATCATCTGGTTGAAATGAGAGGTAGAGCTGGGTGTCATCAGCATAGCAATGGTAAGAGAAACCATGTGCCTGTATGATAGGTCCCAGTGATGTGGTGTAAATGGAGAAGAGGAGCGGTCCGAGAACTGAACCCTGAGGAACGCCTGTGGTCAGTTGATGTGCTTTGGATACCTCACCTCTCCATGTGACCTTGAAGGACCTACCTGTGAGATAGGACTCAAACCAGTTGAGGGAGGTTCCAGTGATGCCCAGTGATGAGAGGGTGGACAAGAGGATCTGATGATTCACAGTGTCGAAGGCAGCAGACAGGTCCAGTAGAATGAGAACTGATGATTTGGCAGCAGCTTTTGCGATCCGCAGGGCTTCCGTGACTGACAGCAATGCAGTCTCAGTTGAATGTCCTTTCTTGAAGCCTGATTGGTTGACATCCAGCTGGTTGTTCAGAGACAGGAAGGATGATACTTGGTTAAAAGCAACTCGTTCAAGTGTTTTCGCAATGAATGGTAGGAGAGAGACAGGTCTGTAGTTCTCTAGAAGTGATGTGTTTAATGTTGATTTTTTAAGCAGAGGAGTTACCCAAGCCTGCTTAAATGCTGTAGGGAAAATGCCAGTGTGGAGGGATGAGTTGATAATGTGTGTGAGAGCTGGTAGAAGTGTGGGAGAGATGGCTTGTAGAAGGTGTGAGGGGATGGGGTCTAGAGGGCAGGTGGTAGGATGACTGGAGAGGAGAAGTTTAGATACTTCTTCCTCGGTTAGAACTAATGATTCCCGTAGGAACGTTTTCCTGGTTGCGTTCGCAGCGCTAGCATGAACTCTGAGTGACGTGAGACACGCTCGTTGTTGAGACTTTTATTTAGACGTCGCTGAGAACGGCAGCGCTCGCATTCTCCGTGTTCATTAGTGTACGATCTGTTTAATACGTTATCAGATAAAGCTGTTATACACAAAGTCGACCTAATGAAGAGTTATTAGCGTGTGTGTGTGGCTGATCCACGCTAGCTGAGCAGAAACACATAATCATGTTTCTCTAGGTCTCCTCAAAGTCACGTTGGGTTTTCTCCTCAGTGTAAAGGTTGAGAGGCTCATCTATCAGTGTTTTACATGTTCGTAGAGTTAGTTTCTGGAGTAAATGTATAGGCTATAATCTGTGTGTTTTTAAAAATGGCGTGTTCTGGTGTTTCGCGGCCAATCAGCGAACACTGACGTCACGGACAGTTCCTATAGCGCTGGTCTAGGCCGACTCTAGGGTAGGACGGTTAGGGTTAGATTAGTTATTAGCTAAATTAGTTCCTCCAAAAGGAGTTCCTAGAACTGAAATCATTCCCAGTTCCTGCGGTGCGAACGCGCCAAACTCTGGGAACTTCCGCCAATAGTTGTAGGAACTATGAAACGGTTCCTCCGGTGCGAAAGCCTCTAGTGTTTAGTACTGTGCTGTTCTGTGAATACTGTGGCACTGCCAGTATCTTGAGCCGTTGCTGCCAGCATAGAAAGGGTGCAACACAAACTTATACTGATGTGTTTGTAAAGTGATAACAGTAATAAAATGTCATTATATCTTCCTTTCTCAGAGGCCCACAGCAAAGGAGCTTCTGAAGCACAAGTTCATAATTAAATATGCCAAGAAGACGTCCCACCTCTCCGACCTCATCGACAGACTGAAGCGCTGGAAAGCCGAGGGACACAGTGATGGAGAATCCAGTTCTGACTCTGACTCGTAAGCACACAAATACATTCACAACACAGTCCTGAATAAGGAAACCCATTTTGCAGTGCACACCCTGCTTTCATCACTAAAATGCCTAATGCCACTAAGTAGTTTCTCTCTAGATCTTGTTTAAAATGAAGGATCACAATAGAATCAATGGCCAGACTTCGTCTCTTCTCCTCACCAAGGAGTGTTTATTTGATTAAAAATACAACAAAAGGAATATTGTTAAATATTATTGCAATTTTAAATGACTCTTTTCTATTTTAATATATTGTAAAATGTAGTTTATTCCTGTGATCAAAGCTGAATTTTCAGCATCATTACTCCAGTCTTCAGTGTCACATGATCCTTCAGAAATCACTCTAATATGCATTTATGATTATTTTCAATGTTGAAAAATCTTAGTAAGTAAATTATATTTTATTCAAGAACAATTGTTTCAAAAGTTAATGCACTTTAAAAAGGGAATCATTTCAATAAAAGATGTGATGCTTGATTTGGTTTATATTTGCTTATTGAGCTCGCTTGCGCCCTCTTGTGGGCATATGAGACAACAGCACTTTTGTTCTCTAACATTAACATTAAGTATTGCCTTTAGAATTCGAATATAATTTGAATTTTGCTAATATTTAAGAAAGAAATTTGAATTTAGCTTTTCAGCCATTTTGACAGCCCTAGTGTGAACACACCCTAAATTGATCAAACTACCCTGAGCCGAGCATCTCGATGTGTTCTTGATGGTCTAATTGTGTGTGTGTGTGTGTGTGTGCCTAACAGAGAGAGCAACAGTAAGGACAATGAATCGTCTCCTGAATGGTCCTTCACAACCGTTCGAAAGAAGAAGCCAGAAAAGAAGCAGCCCAACGGAATGGTTCGTTCTCAATGAAGATTTGGATATTCAATGTAAAACATTCTGAAACTGGTTAATCGAGAACACGTCTGTGTCTTTTGCTCGCCTCCCTTCAGGCAGAAGAAGTGCAGAAGAAGTCCGTCAGTTTAACCACCGTCATGGCTCCTGTTTTTTCTGAGGTAGGGGACCTAGTCTTCTCACGTTCTAGAGGTCAGATGAAATAAAAAACACATTTTTTGTATGTGAATGCTGATTTACATGAATATTATGACACGAGTAAAGCACACAAAACTTTGTTTACAAAATAAATAATAGCTTCGCAAATTCGCAGCCAAACGTTTGGATTGGTGACGAACGAGAGAGTTGTGCGTGAGCCGATATATTTAAGCTTTAAATTCTGTTTTGCGATCTGGTCCTCCGATAATCAGCGAATTTAACAATATTCTGTTAGTTATTCCACTGGACATGGAATCTCTTGTTTCTTTTCCCAAATCTTCACTCACGTCTCACCCATTTTCGAAGGGGATTATAAACGTTTCTTTCTTTGTTTTGCTTTAAAGTAGGCCTATTATATTCGCATTCTTTACTAGAGCTGTAACGATACACCAAACCCACGATTCGATTCGTATCGCGATTCTATCACGGGGGCGGGGCTTGAGGGGGCGGAGCTTGTGGTGAAAAAAAGAGATTGAGAGAAGAAAAAAAGTACCGGTATTTTTATTAAACAACATTAGGAAAAACCTGTATAATCTAAACACCAAAGAACAATAATAACTATGCAAATTATTAAACTATACTAGGCAGTGTAGGCTGCTGCTTTTGGGTTGTGTTCTGTACTCCAACTAAATTGATTTCGGGATGGTGCCGTAGGATATGCATCTGCATGTTGGATGTGTTGCCGGTCAATTGAGGATTAATTTAATGCACTTTCTGAGAATTTATATTTCAAGGCATGCTGAAATTGCCAAATTTTAAATAATTTATCCTCAACTAGTTTTGTGGTGTAGGTCTACGTATTTTATAATGTTAACTTCAAATAATACTAATACAAACACAAAAATGTGTTGAATACATGCTGTTCAAGTGTCTTCTTTAGTCTGTTGGCTATTTAGGTTTTTGCCTGGCACACGTCACTTACACATTTTGCACTCACTGGAGTCTTGTGTAGACTGTTTACATATTTGTGCCCATATGTACATTTAATGTAGCTACTGGTGTTATTGTTGAATACGTTTTCTAAAATTGTATGTTTTTGTTGAGTTATTATTACACAATACTTTTTTCAGACCTTTTTGAATCTTGACAAATAACCCAAATTACAAAAAAATACTCAAACTAACACTAAAACTAATAAACACTAAACTAAAACTGACCATTTTCAAAAAATTAAACTAAACTAGCAAACCCACTTTAAAAACGAATTAAAACTAAACTGAATTTGAAAACAAAAAGTCAAAACGAAATAAAAATAAAAACTAATGAAAAATGCAAAACTTTAATAACCTTGGTTATGAAGTGAGTTTGTGTGGCTTTTTTTCCAGCTGAAATCCCAGCAGCGAGACGATGAGATGACGAGAGGAGTGTTGGAGGAGCTGGAGAAGAGTCTGCATGTGGCTGAGGATCTCTGTCCTGGTGTCACAGACCGCATGATCAGCCACATCCTCGAGAGAGTTCAGAGGTCAGACACACGCACTGCACGATAATGCGTTTCTCATAGTGGTCAGCTGTCTTCAATTTAGGAGTGAGGATACAGTTTACTGACCTGAAAATTGTGTAATTATCTATATCCTCCTGGGACCCAAGAATAGACTTTTGTCCACTGTAGTGGACATTATATTTTAGTAAATTTCTCTGACATCATACATGTCACATGACACAACCTGGGTGTCCTGTAAAGAGCACATTCAGGACTTTTCAGAGATACCAAATGTTCGGAGGTTTCACCATGAAAGCAACTTCTCCTTGGTCTTTAAAAATGTCTGAGATTAATTTAGTGATCAAATGTAGCATTCTTATGGAAATATGATAATATAGTGTAATTATAATATAAATTGGACTACTTTTCAAATTGTATTTCATAAAACAACATCTCAGGAAAATGTTACGGGGTTTCAAAAAAAAAAAAAACGTTCTGTTACAGAACAGGGCATTGATTTGAAACGTGTCCACTGTAGAGGACATCAGGACTAAAATCATGTTTATCAGGCATTCTGGGAGACACAACAAGTGAATATGGAAATAAATTATACATCAATATTCCTATGAAATGTTAGATATTATTATTTAAATGTTGCTCCAAGAACACATTAATGTGCAAATTAGATACAGTGTATAGATACCCACTATTTTACCCACATATTGCAAAAAGTAAAATGGTGTATCAATTCATTCCATTATTTCTTTCATAACATAGTTGAGAATAATCTTTATACAAATTTTGGTTGAAAAAATCCTGAAACCCCAAAATGTATTGGTGATTGAAAAAAAAAATCCCATTGTTTTTGGCTATACATATAATTTCATGTCATTTTATTTTTTAAACAACTTAGTCCTGGCTTCCACTACAGAGGACATAGCATAACGTATGAATAAAATATTATTTTATATATATGTTTTTTTACCATTTGTTTATTGTGCTCTAAACAGTGTGATGACATGGAAAAAAACTAAATTCAATAAACTTTTTTTTTCTGGGTCTCAGGAGGATATGCCGTTTTTTAACAATAAACATTGAAAGGGTCATGCCATGCTTTTATTTTGTGGTGCAAAAATAGTCATGATTTTCCACCCTCTATCTTTACACCACAATTATATGCTTAAAACAGAGAAGTTTTTCCTTTTGAGTTTTCCGTGTACAGACATTGTCAAAACGATCCCCATTCACACGGATCCGCAAAAACGCCTAAAAACGCTGTATTCTGCGGCCAGGCCAGTAGATGGCGATGAAACACTATAGACTGAACACGTAATACATGTGCATGACGTCATCATCTTCACAGATTCACGTTTTTGTTGTTTATACGGAGACCGTTTTCAAAAACGTGCACTTTGAACCCCGTTTTCAAAACGTAGCATTTTCAGGCGCCCAAAACGCCGCTGTCGTGTAAACGAACGGCCAAAACGCATACAAAGTTTTACGTTTTTATTTAAAAAAGGGGTCGTGTAAACGTACTCTGACTGAAATTCTGGTTTTGGTGCTACGTCTCCTTTAAAGGGCTAGTTCACCCTCAAGCCATCCAAGATGTAGATATCTTATTTTCTTCAGTGGAACCGTAAAGATGGTTTTTAGCTGAAACCGCAGGCGTTTGGTAATTCATATAATACCAAGTCAATGACTACCGTGACTTTGGGAGTCAAAAAACACACAGGCAAAACAAAATGAATACTCCTCATGATACATCAGCCGCTTTTCCGTGGTCGGGGCGGGGCCAATAGCCTCGGACCTCAAACACCGAGCCCAAAATCAAGTTACGTTTCCACTATGGGCCAGTAGACCCGCAGCACTGCCCTAAAACACGCCTTCATAGAACGACGTCACACAACCCCACCATTTCACCAGCTGACTGAAAATGATAGATAGATTTTTTTTATTTGTCCTCGAGAGGAAATTTGTTTCCACCGTAGATGCGTACATAACACAAACACACATAACATGTTAAATTATCAACATATCATAATACAATCAAAAATAGTGGCTGACATCACAACAAAACAACAACAAAGAGAGCATAAGTGACGTATCAATTACACACTGAAGAAAAGCAGAACAGGACCCCTGTAAACAGCACCTGTAGACCGCAGACGTGAACACACACACACACACACACTCTGTCCCACCCCCTGTAGACGCCACACACACCTGTTGACCGCAGACGTGAACACACACACTCTCTCTCCCACCGCCTGCCGCACACACACCTGCGGCCGGCCCACTGATGCATGTCCGGTGTCTGACGTGTTCCTCATCTCTGCTTCTGCGTTGTGTGTTTGTAGGTTCTCTGTGAGTTAGTGGGAAACGCCACGCTTCTGCTGTCAGCCCCTGATGACTGCACCTTAACACACACTCACACAGAGAACACACTATCTCATCATAACCAAAAGGAATTCTGCTCTTCTTGTCCCAAAGAATGGAAAATATATATATTATATAGAAATATAGTGTGTGTTCAACTGTATTTATACAATTTTGCCACATGCTTTTATATTAGTCTTCTGCTGGTGCCCAAGGATGTGTGTTACTGTTATTTTATTCAGCATTTTACTTTCAAAAGACACAAAATATCCTGACTGGTTAAGTAGATCTGCGTTCGGTAGATCTTTTGGTTCACGTTTATTTATATGCGTTTGATGTCCCGATCTATTGCTTTATTCTAAATGTTAAACTATGATCAATAATATATATATATATATATGTTTGGGAGATCAACAGTGCCTTTCTGTTCGTCTTGGTTTGGGATTTCTTTATTACTCTCTACACACTGTCAACCGTAGCATTACAGAACTGCTGTATGGGATTACACGCATATCATATCAGACAAACAAACGAATAGAAATACCTCATTTAAGCAATCATTAAGAAGAAAACAAACATCTGTTTAATGAAGATCAAGATTTAAACCGCTAGATGATCGAGGAGTTTTGCTGTGCAAAAGCTACTTCACTCTTTAGGGAATCTCACTTTTCTTTTAATTGGCAAGGTAATTTGTCTTTTATATATAAAGGACTGTTATCCACATTCGTTTCTCAGTAATGCCCTCTTTTACAGTGTCTTGTGTTCTCGAGCTGATATTTTTATACGAGAGTAGAGCTATACTGTATTTTTGAAGGAGATATGCACTTCGTACGGGGCGTTGTTTAATTGCTTTAAGGACATTCCTCTTACTTTGAGTCGATCTCAAGGGATCCTGCTTCTTTAACCAATGGGGACGTTTCTACACGCGACCGCAAGCGACTCGAGCTCGATGCAGATTCCTCTGTTTTGTGTAATCTCCTGTGATGAGGGATTTCTCTTTTCTTTTTTTCCCCTGTTTTGTTTGGCCAAGCTTGTAAAGAAACACAAGTGTGCCATTGCTGGTGCGGTGGTGATGTCGTCACTCGCTCCGGTGGGCCTGGAGAGACTGTGCCAACGTTGCATCCCATTGTGCCTAAAAAAAAAAAAGCTCACGTTTTTATGTATATGATGTCATTGTCTTCTCAAAAACAGCTTTAAGACGACGCTTTCACACGGTGCCAGACTGCTGGAGGATTTTAGAGCAATAAAGGTGTTTAGTAGGACATTTGTATATTTCTTTATAGATAACTGTAGATGCGGAAGCTAGGTTTTGTACATTTCTTCACCAGAGCTTTTGTAAATTTAAGACGCCAGACGGAAATCTTTCTAGGCTGTGTTATACAGATGCTGTTCTCTTCTCTTCTTTTTTTTTTTTTTTTTTTTGACATCAACTGTTACAAATTAGTTTTTGTTTGGTGTGGCAAATAAAGATTTAAGTTATGACATTTCAGTGCGTCTGCTTTTTTCTCCATTGATAACGAAAGCTCAGACTTGTTGCACCGCTGTCAACACTGACGAAATCACACTGTCCAATAGATCATGCGGTAAAACTCTACTTGACGGGGTGTGCTTAAGACTGACATGACACCTTCATAACCATGACATGACACGTCATGAATATGAAGGAGGTTTATGCATGTTTATTACAACTGTCATTAAGTGTCATTCACTCAATTATGACATTGTTTGAGATGTCTTTATGACACCTTGACATAAACCAATACATCATAACCTGTCAGTGTCTTTGTCATGACAACTTGACATTACTAAGACAACACAACCTGTCATAAACATGACATAGCAGATTAATGATCAAACTTAAGAAACCACTTAGCTTTATGGGTTAACATTACATTAAACTGTCATGTGGTTGGTTTTGACATTAGCTGTCATGAGGCCGTTATAACATGTTAATGACAAATTCAATTTGTGCCACTGTAGTCGAGGTCACGAAAAATATTCATGACACAGTTATAATGCCTCATGACACCCAATGTCAACACCAACCACATGACAGTTTAATGTAATGTTAACCCATAAAGCTAAGTGGTTTCTTAAGTTTGATCATTAATCTGCTATGTCATGTTTATGACAGGTTGTGTTGTCTTAGTAATGTCAAGTTGTCATGTCAAAGACATCTCAAACAATGCCATATTTGCATTAAAAATGTCATAATTGAGTGAATGACACCTCCTTCATATTCATGACATATGTCCTATCATGGTTATGAAGGTGTCATGTCAGTCTTATGCACACCCCTTCAAGTAAAAGTGTTACCAATCATGTTTATTTAAAGTGCGTTTATAATTCTGTGTGAATTAAAAATATGACACATACACTTTTCCACAATTCTGTGGGAATATATTCTAAAGCATTGTCAAAAAAAGTGATTGTACAGGATTGTTAATGGAAATTAACTAACATAATTTAGAACCGTCATATAATAAAGATCATAACTGAAATTCATGTGTTACTCTGAACTAGGACTGTGCAATATGAATAAAAATGCTATTACTTTTTTTGATCAATATTGTGATTTCGATTTTACACATCATTCCTTTTACACATAGCTTACTTGTCTACC